TATGCCGTAATTAATTCTACCATATGGTAGAATGCCGTAATGCCGTAATTCAGTAATTCTACCACCAACTATAGTTTAATCTAATAGAGCAGGAAGATGATAATGAACAAATTTTGGAAGTTAATAAGATTAAGCCAAATGTGATTAAATAAATACATTATCAAGACTTATATACAAGCAAGATATATGATACTAATAAATTTTCAAAGTATGTTAGTAAACCAATCAATACATAGAATTCTCGAGCAAATTCTCAAATTTATATTTCAATTAAATTAATAAAATACATGTTTATGTATCCTTAAATGTCTTAGGAAGGTAGTATTTTTTCTTAGTTGTTGAAAATTTTTACAATATCTAATCCCATTATATTACAAAAACTAGGATATAATCGAGAAAGAAGCTGAAATTTAGCGGATAACAAAATTAACAAATAGGACAGATAGCTTCAGCCTCAATTAGTAACAGTATTTAAATTTTTTTTTAAAATAATCAAGAAAGATACCGAAAGATTTAACAAGTTTTTTTTTTCTCTATTCCACATTTTAAAACAAGTTTCCAATATTAGATATATAAAGAAAATGGCTTTTGGAAACTAATACTATGCTGCGTGGGTTATAATATGCTTGATATTTAGTTTCTGTTAATGGATCTTAATCTAAAATTCTTAATCAATCAGATATTAATACTGTATAGTAAAATGAAATATGTGAATATAAACTAGCTAATTAAACTTTAAAAAGTTTTTTATTTTATAAGGTCTTCAAATCTATACCAAAAACCCGGCAATAAATTGGAATGTTTTAAAAATTAAATTTTCATTATTTTTAATTGCTTAACTGCTTTATTGCTGCCTTCCAAGGCTGCTAATCTCAAATAGCTTAGTCCAAGTTCTTTATTTTGCTCTACACCGAGCTTTCCTTTCAAATAAAGGTCACCCAAAACCTGTAGTGCATTAGCATGCTTATTATCAGCAGCTAATTTTAAATAATATATAAATTCCTTGTGTTTTTCACCACCCTAGACAGCCGCAGAAAGTAATGAGAATGCATATCGAAATTGAGCATCAGTAATATTATCGTCAGCGGCTTCTTTAAAAAATTTGGTTGCTTGGTATATATCTTTATTAACAAAATGACCTTCATATAAATAATAACCTTTCCAATATTTCGCCAATGAATTACCAAAGCTAGCATTTTCATCAAAACATTTCCAAGCCTCTTTATATTTTTTTTCATATAATGAAAATCGATTCCCTTGTCAAGAGGCATTACAGCTTTAATTGTTTCAGAAAGCACAAATTCTTCACTGAATTTTGGCAATCTTAAATTTTTAGATTTAGCAATTTCTCCATCAAAGTCTATAGTTCCATTTTCTAAAAGCTGAAAAGTATTATCAGCAATTGGATAGGTTAAGGCTAATTTTTCAAAAACTTCAAAAATTTTCATAATGTTTATTCGTTTGTGTGGTATGTGTTGCCACGCTATTTAGTAATAATAATAATAATAATAATAATAATAATTAAAATTTATTATTCCTAAATATATGAGTGCCGCAAAGGAAAAACTTGTAATTCTTATTTGATGAAGAATTAAAGGTTTTCCCTTTGTGACACCTATATATATAAAAATTAACAATTCAATCGACTGACCTTTTTCAATTACTCCAATAAATTCTTTTTGAATAATTTTATCACTAGGACCGTTAAATATTCCTAATGGAAGTTCTTCACGTTTGTTACTTGAAACATGATCTACTATTTCTTTTAAATTCATGTTTATATAAGCAATTTTTTCATAACAAAGTTCCCAAATTAGCATTCCGAAACTAATACGAAAAATAATGATCAATGTTTAAAATACAATTCAAATAATTCTTG